TTGCAGTATAATGCAGGACAAACCTGTACCGTCACAGTATATCTGTTTGAATTTTACTAAAAAACATGTTTTCTTAAAAATTATTGCTGTAACATTACACGTAATTTGTACCATTACAGATATATTGTCGGGATTTTAATGAGAAAACATGTTTTTTTTACATAATTTTTGCTGTAATATTACACGCAATAACTATAAACATTACAGCTAATCGTTGGGATTTTACATGAGAAAAAGGTTCTACTTCCATAACTATGCTTGATATTACAAGAAAAAGATCTGTACCATTACAGGCAAAATTCTGTAAAGTTACAAAGAATACACCTGTTTCTGTTACTCAAATAACTCATGGCATCCCAGTTTCCATGAGTTTTCTTAGTAACCTTACAGATTTTTTTTTTACAGTGTGTCAACTGCACAGTATGTAGCATTCAGCATTAATACTCGTGTTGTAATTTGTATCAGTATACCAGTGTTTGAGCATAATAAAGTGTCCTTGTAACCAGAATATAATGCAATCGAGATAACAACATTAATTTCAGTAATGCGCAACCTCACAGTATGTAACATTCAGCATCAGCATCAGTGTATTAGTATTTCAGTGTGCCGCCCAACCGAGGTAGTGGTTAGCGACACCGGCTGCCGTACCGAAGGGCCCAGGCTCGAATCTCGGAAAAGGACTGATTGGTTGTAAATACATAGTGTCTGTGCGGCATGGGGAGAACTCTAAAGAAGCGGCAAGCAGAAAGTCCTCTCGAGAGGTTAGTGGTAGGAGAAGAGGGGTGGGAGACGCTCAGACCTGTGCCCGGGGCGCTCTCCTTCAAAAATAGGCGGCGCAACTAAGAGTCGTTCTGTCAAAAACAGCAGAGTCATTTTGTCACTTGTATGGTACCCAAGGCTGTTGCCAATGACAGACGCAATCTTGCCTCCTTGCCACGATGAATTTTGTAGGCTTGCCCTAGTATTAGGCAAGAGAGATTAGTCACAACCAGAAGTGTAATCAGCACCGGCGGTGAAACACAAGGAAATGAAGGTAAGCAAATATCACGAGTATGTGTATATATGTAGTAATATCTTGACGTGTGCATATCGTCAGTCCTTGTACGGCCATGTAGGATTATTATTTTTTGATAAAATCCTGATTCGGTCCTCGTGGGCTGCCGGACGTTGTTGTTCTACGTAATTGTAAGATTCGGACTGCACTCCATTAATCTATGTTAGCCGCCCAGGTATCAGGACCTTAGTCTCACCTGCAACCTGTTCTATTTGTTTGCATCATCCAGAGTTGTGTTTATGGTAGCATAGCAGTTTGATTTTATATTTCAAGGTCTGTTTGAATAAAAGTGTTATTATAACGTGCATTCCTTTACATTTTTCACAGTTTACTTCAAGCGCGCATTCATTTTCGATGCAGCTGGATAATGCTGCATCAGCTAAAACTAAAACTGGATTTCACGTTACTTACAATATTCCAAAGTGTTTCCATTTCTAGGAATAATGGATGTGACAGAGCTATCTGCCTAATGGAAGGAATGCTTTCTGGAAGACTTTCTTAAGAAAAATGGCTCTTATTCACGTTACAAGCGCAGAAAACTAAGAAAACGTCCGTAGCCTGTTCGCCTGAGTTTGAATCCTCGAGGTGAATTGTTAAAAAAAATGGTTGCAGGTCAGTAGCATGTGCACATAGTGACAATTCATTTGTTTACCTTTTAGAAAATCTTTGAAATAAGATGAATTGGGAGGTAGGGAAAAATAAATCTAGCACGTTGACGCAGATGCGAGACGCACACAAGTTTGGTTATGTGAGCAAACTTTGGCACAAAGTTTGGTTACACGAGCTACTTCCATGAACAGATTCAATGGTAATTTAATATAAAAAGTTAAAAGTCACATGCTTGTTTTTATAATTATTTGCAACAATTCACCATGGTCTGTGAAGTTTATTTTCCTGAAACAAACTCCGAATGGAGCATGTGATGCATTTCTTTTTTTGGGCACATCACTGCATAGACTAGTGGTTCCCAAAACTAATAATATATATTTATCTGGAATGATGAATTAATTTAGAATTATAAATTAATTTTTAGTAGTGATAGATATTATTATTACTTCATTATTTTATGGTTTACATGTGTAGTGCTTTTTTTTTTAGTATTTATACACACGTAGCTGACGAGGCTAAAGGCTTGAATAACGTTGTAGCCTGTTTCTTTAAAAGAAGGACTTCAAGGCCGTTGCCATTCCTTTCAACTGGATATAGTAACGCATATTGTCACCCCCGCACAATACTTATTTTCCCCCAATTCATTTAAGGCAGTGTTCATTCGCGCTTTTTATGAAGCGGAAAAACGGTAAACGGAATGGCATGGTGAAAAAATATTAAGTGACCCAATGATTTGTTGCAGCTGTCGTTCCCATGGTTAGGATGCAAATCGGAGGGGGGGGGCGGCGGAAAATGATCCTGAAATTCCTATCTTAAAGTAACAGACTTTTGTAAATTCTAGAACTGTTTTAAATGTATCGTACATAATACCGACTGCTGGAGTTATTTAATACGACGTCAGAGAATTAGACTTGATGCTTGGTCAGACAAAGACATTTTTTTTATGAAGAATTTTTCCAATTTTAATGTAAATGCTCCCAATTCAAAATCTTTACGCCGGTAAATGTTGACAATTTTTCGAAGACTTGCAAGAGTTCATTCGACGACAAACCATTCTCATTTTACCTCAAGCAACACTAAACGGGACCAGTGCATTTATTATTTATTATATATTTATTTATTCAGTTTTAAATAATTAGAAACGGCAAAATTGGGAACGATTAATGATAATAGAAATGCCTCGAATCAATAATTTATTCCTATCTAAATTATAAATTTCATAATTCATACATCATTATTAATTTGCGTTCTAAAGAACTTTAAGTTTAGGAAAGAAAAACACTTCCGGAAATCCTAAAGTCCAAGTTAAAACTGTCTGAATGATGATGGTAAAATTACATAAACTATTTGATATTTTACTTTCTAGCGTAAAATTTTTGCAGTTAATAGTTTTATTAAGTAAAAATTTTTATATGGAAGACTGCGAAACCTTCCTAGAATTCAATTTATTTTCATACTTTGTAATGTATTCCCTTTCCTTACCGTTTACCCCAGTGATGAAGTTGGAAGCACTTTCGCCTAGCATCGAGAGGTCTGAAGTTCGAATTCGGTAGATGGCATTACATATTTTCACGTTTCGTGTTTCGATAAACTTAATGACTCTACAGTGACTCTTAAACTGAAGTAAAGTATTCATTTAATTTTATCTAACCAGTTATTTTGTGTTCAGTATCTTTGCTGTCATTCTCCCTTTCTGTTTCATATTTCATAATTCTTACATCATTATTAATTTGCGTTCTAAAGAACTTTAAGTTTAGGAAAGAAAAACACTTCCGGAAATCCTTAAATCCAAGTTAAAACTGTCTGAATGATGATGGTAAAATTACATAAACTATTTGATATTTTACTTTCCAGAGAAAATTTTTAAAGTCAGTTAATAGTTTTATTAAGTAAAACTTTTTATATGGAAGACTGCGAAACCTTCCTAGAATTCAATTTATTTTCATACTTTGTAATGTATTCTCTTTCCTTACCGTTTACCCCAGTGATGAAGTTGGAAGCACTTTCGCCTAGCATCGAGAGGTCTGAAGTTCGAATTCGGTAGATGGCATTACCATATTTTAACGTTTCGTGTTTCGATAAACTTAATGACTCTACAGTGACGCTTGAACTGAAGTAAAGTATTCATTTAATTTTATCTAACCAGTTATTTTGTGTTCAGTATCTTTGTTGTCATTCTCCCTTTCTGTTTTCCTGCCACAATGTTAATTTTAGTTCGCGCATATTCAAATGATGTGCCAAGAGATTTAAAGGAAGGCTTTAGATTGTTTGGTCGGGGTGCGTTGAATTCTAGTTGAAATTCTATGAAACAGTCCGTCTTGTGTTGCTTTATTCTTGTCAGTAGTGCCTGCCACACCGACATAGATTTGAGCCAAACTGCAAGTTATTCATTTCTGTGTAGCCACGTCATAAATGCTAGTTGGTTGTGTAAGAATAAGAAGTCCCTTTGTAAGGATTTTTAAGTTTTAGTAACGTTTATCCTCTCTTATTTTCATTTCCGGCCAGAATAAGCTCGAGTATAATTGTTTATGCTAATGAGGTTGCAAACTATATAGGTATTTAAGATATGGCTTTTAGCCAAGAGAAGAGAGAGACTTCTTGCTGCCTTACTGCGCGAGTGCCTTTAGTCAATTCATGTCTGTCTTTAAGGCCAGAATTTAGTTCCTGTTGGTATTTGAAGACGTATTATAATTTCTGCATTTCGCTCACTACAGAAGTAATGTCAAAAGGCCAATTTTCGCCTTACTAGTTCTCTGTAAAGCATTTAAGTTTAGTTCTTATTTAGTTTATGAGTTTATGAGTTTACTCTTATTTAGTTTTCTTATTTTCTACGTTTTTGAGCATAAGTGCTGGTCTCTGAATCCCGAAGTGCGGGAACGGCTGTACACTGTGAGAAATAAAGGGTAAAGTTCTTAGTGGTGTTGTTTGTCCTACACACACACGAGCATATTTTGAGTAAGCTCCCTGCTCCCATTCAAGATCAGTAGATGTTTCCAAAGGCAATTAGAAGTAACAGCAGTCCTACAGCGACGCCCGAACTAAAAAGGGTGGTGGATGATGATTCTCCGCCCTAGGATTTGGTGATTAGGTTCCCTAATCCCCAGTCGCCCTTTAAAAGAGGGAGTATATAAGGTATTTCTCTCGCCTTCTTATCATGCCTTGGTAGTGTAGTGGTCAGTACGCTCGACGCGTATTCGAGAGGTCAGGGATTCGACTCCCGGCCAGGTCATTGCTCAATTTTTATCTCACCTGCTTCCAAAAAAAATACCTAATGTCTCTACACCTTCTGTTAAATTATTTAAGTTCCTAATAAAAGGTCTTTTACACCCTTCTTACTTTTCTCTGTTTTCTTAAATCCCAATCACATTATGTTTAGGCTACGCGGGGCATGACGTCGAAAGGTACAATTCTCAGAACCCGCACAATTCCAGGAAATCCACGTAGCTAGGTTACCATTTTCACTTACTACAAAGACTTGAACGTCAAACAGTAATCGATTATCGCTCAAATTCGGATCACGTGAGGCTTCAGAAGCAGAACTTTCGTCTGATTGGTTGTTTCTACCCGGGACTAAGTCCAGCCGAGACATTTTTGGTGAGGTTTGAAAAAATCCCGCATAGCCGCAACATTGTTTCCGTAGCTAAGCGGGACTTCGCCTCAGTCGGGGCTCTTTTTTCTAGTAATCCTGCCGTTTAAACCAGTGCTAACAGAAGCTCGTTTCTCAGAAAAGTCCCGTCTAGCAGGGATTGTAGCCATGTGTGATAACCTCTTTACTGGACATAGGATAAGTCGCTAGGTTCCATCAAGACGTCTCGATTTAGTGTATGCTTCTCAAGACGGTGAGACTCTGCATGGTGAGGAATAATTTTATCACCACCATGATTTGGCAATTGGGTTCCTACTTTCGCAGTGGCCTTTTACGTGAAAGAGTTTTTCCCTTCTTACGGCGTTGCTTCTTACGGTTATAAGTAAATCCGGTTAGGTTCGGAAGGTCCGGATTTCGGATCTCGGTGAGACCATCACACAATTTTTATGTTTCTGCTTCACACAATTCTCCTGTCTTACCGTATGTCTTTGTAGCGTAATTGGAGGCTCGTCCAGCTAGCATCGGAAGGTGCGGAATTTGAATTCTGAGGAGTATACTGCTGATTCTTCAGGTTTTCTGTCTTCAAAAAATTCAAAATTACTCTACTAGCCCTCGAACTAAAATGTAGTGAACAGTAATTCGTCACAGTCAGGATATGCCGATTGGGTCCTTTCCTTATCAGTCGCCTTTTAAGTGGTCAGTCTAAAGTATTTTCTCCTATTTTATTTGCAATTTATGGGTTTGCAATTTATGGGACAAACAGAATTTTTTATACAAAAATTTTGATTGAATATAAAACCCACTGGCCTTTTTTTTTCTTCTTCTCCTATCCCCAAAAAATTATATTATAAATATTATTGGGTCAACGGGGCGCGTATAGAAGACTATAGCAATGGGCTCGCAAACATGTATGCCACCCACCAAGAAAGGGAATCGGCGAGAAGTTTAAAGAGAAAACGAGAGTGTAAAATTATATTTATATAAAAATGGAAAGTTGACCGATTACCATCTTATCAACTGAAGCGATGTACCGTAACTAATCGATTTTAAAACGATAAAGAGTCAGATTTCAATCATAAGCAAAAATCACTAAAAGTCACACACATCAACAAAGTGCACATGTCATCCCGCGTTCGTTTCGGTTTTTCGTTGTTAAATATACAAACAATGAAAAGCAAATATAAATAGGGGGGAAATCAGATTTATGTTATGTTTATTTACTTTCACTTCTTTGGTAACCTTGATATAGCAGTTTTCGTATCTAGAAGACCACCTATATTATATTATACACGTGCTTGTTTTATGTTGCGCCCAAAATCTTGCGATTTTTCTGGTTATAGGAAGGTGCCTTGCTGATTATGTTACTTCTTAATTTGTATAATCTCGTAACGAATTTGCACACATTTTTAAAAACATT